TTTCCTAAATGGAGTACCTTTTAAAATTGGTGTGCACATTATTTCACACATGCTTTATCATTATTGTCTCAACTAGAAAACAAACTATTGTACTCTTTATAATTATTCCCAATGTACTTCACACATGTTTTTATACTTCCTTCATTTACATTAAAATCCGTAAAATATGAAAAATGAACACTTAATAATGGGACGGATTGGAGGGAGTAATACATTGGTCCCACTATTGCTCCCCACCATTCCATTTTTTTTTTTTTAATATTTTCCCCTCTCTCTCTCTCCTCCCTCCTCCCTCCTAGTATCCACTTTTTATTTCCCATGAATAAAAATCATCCCAATTGTATTTTTTGTGATTTTTATATTCTCAATGACCCCACTTGCATAATAATGTAATGTATCCAATTATTTAACCTAAAACTCTGTGAAAATAAAAATGGAACACTTATTACAAAACATAGGGAATAAATAATAATGTTCTAATAAAATAAATGAACTTAGCCAATTTTTGTTGATGTTGCTATTATTTAAGGTTTAGAATCAATTTTTTTTTTTTTTTTTTTTTTTAGGAAAAGCAGTCAATATGGTGACCTCTTAGTGACAGACTAGAAAGTTTAAATGAGTTAGACAATATTCACTTCAGTCTTTATCTTGAAAAAAATTATTCTGTAAAATTAATTTAAATTTAATAAAAAATAAATAATTTCAATGCAATATAAGTTTTTTGTTTGTTTAGAGCATATAAGTGGTTTAAGTTAAGCAAAAATAAGCTTTAATCAATAAAAATTAGCATCTTTGATGAAAATAAACATTATTTTTTAAAAAAAGAGAGAGAGAGAGAATTAGTAAAAATAAGTTTTAACCAAAAAAATAATTAAAATTTCTAGCAAAAGTAATTTAATTTAGTAAAATAATTTAAGTTCAACGACAAAAAAAAAAAAAAAAAAAGTTCAATATAAATATCAAGTAATAAAAAGAACATAACCTTAGTTTACCTTTTAAATGAGCTAACCTACTGGCCTGTTAGTTCACCTTATTTTATACTTATTTTTGATCTAATATGTTCATAGAAGTTCAGATTAGATTAGTTCAAAAAACATAAGTTATGATAAACGTATGTACCCATTCATGTTCATATTACAGCTTAAATAAGTTTTAATAAGAGTTAATAAGTTTAGATACGATAAGATAAGTTCACATAAGTAAAAATCATGTAAATATATAAAATGCTCCGATCTGTGCATCTCAATGATGTTATAATGTTAGGTAGCGAGCTTGTTATAAAAGAAAACTACAAGAATTTAATTATGTTTTCCTTGTATTTCCAAATATATTGTTTAAAATGTATCTATTCACTTTCACTTTATAAAGGCTTATTTTTAGTTAAACATATCTAATTTTAGTATCATTATTGAACTTATTTTTATCAGAACCTATTATAGGTGAAACTATTAAAAAAAAATTAATACGTTTAAATTAGATGATTTCAAGAAAAATAAGGATTATAAATATAATTTATTTTCATAATAAATAAAGTCTAAGAAATGAGCACTTTTTTTTTGGAGTGGAAAATTACACTTTGGAATATTTAATATCTTTTTAATTCATAATTTTTTTTTTTAACAAACCCTCTCTTATAAATCATCTATTTCACAATAAACTAGTTTGGGCTTGGGCAATGCCTCAAGTTATTACATGGGGTTAACCATTAGTATACATTTACTTTATAACCTAGGCTATGTTTAGCTCACTTTATGTCAAAAATTAGTTAAAACCAGATCATATCAGAAAACCTTAAGTTGTGAACATACTTTATTACATATTACTCCCTCTGTCACAATTTGATTGTCACTTTTGTCATTTTGGATGCCCTTAAATGTTTGTCACATTTCACATTTTTAGATTAAATAATACACATTCCCTTTGGGCAGGGGAAAGGGAATGATAGAAATGGAAAAAAAAAACAACAACAAAGGAAATGATTTCCATGGAATCTCATTCCCTTTGACTATTACTGCGAACCAAACGGCCCTTTAATTTCTCCTTAATTCCCGTGATTTTCTATCAAAAATGACAATCAAATGGGGACAGAGGGAATAATAAAATATACATTAATAGTAATCTAATAAGACCCTACTTGATAATTTTTTTCTTTATTGATTAGCGTACAAATAAGGTCAAAGTTTATGAAACCAAATCATGTCATATAATAAGCAAATAAGGTGAATAACCTTAATCTTCAATTCTCGTAAATAAATTTGTAATTCACTAAATAGTACTCCCTTTATCAATCTCAGGATAAATGACACATTAGACTTTTTTCACCATTTGTATACTGACTTTGATCATTTTTTTTTGTAAAATATTATAAATTAATTTTAGGTAATTTATCATTGATACCCTCCAACTTTTGGCTTTTAACTTTGATATATACTCATCATTAAATTTTCATTATCAGCGGTACCCTCATAATTTAATCCTAATTACTAAAATAAGTACGCCGTTAATAAAAAGTTAATTTAGTTAATTTGAAACGTTTTAGTTGGAAAAATGAGGAAAAGACTTCAATGCCCTCCCATTTAATCTCTCTCCAACCTTTCCCTCTTAAAATCAATTCCCACCACATTAACCTTATAAATACACACTCTGCTTTCTCGTTTTTTTTGCTTTCTGTTTATCTTTCGTTTTTTCTTTTTTTTTTTGCTTTCTCAATTTTTTCTTTAAGTCGAATCTGCAATGGCTTCCTCTTCTGGCACAAGATCATTTGCAAGCCGTAGAAATTACAACAAAAAATAAGCACTAACCTTTTACAATCCACAAAGCAGGCTTGAATCTTCAAGAATTTTGCTTCTGATGCGCGACAATTAGGGTTTGAGGATGAATACGAACAGGGGAGAGAATAAGGGAGATGAACGATAAAAATTTGGAGTAAATGTTGACAGTTGAGTTTGGAGGGAGAAATAAAGAGTTAGGGGCATTTTTGTCAAGTCAAGTCTATGCATAAATCCTGTCATTAACACTAATTAAACGTTTTATTAACGGCAAGCTTACTGTAGTAATTAGGATTAAATTATGAGGGTACCGTTGATAATGAAAATTTAATGATGAGTATCAAAGATAAAAGCAAAAGTTGGAGGGTATCAATGATAATTACCCTTAATTTTATCAAGACTTATATTGTTATGTAGGTAATAATATAAGGTTTCATAATATCACCTTTTTATATATTTTCAGCTTAGTTGCAACTTTGAGCTCGACACGGATTCTAAGAAAAAATTTCATAATGGTTAATCAATGAATTAAAGAATAGTAAATTAAGGGTAGGAGAGAGAAAATGAGGGTAATTAATAAATTGACCAACACCACCAACAAGGCAACAACAGTCACACACCAACCATTGCCCAACACCAACCACCCACCTCACAGCCTGAACCACCCGGAAACCACCTACACGCACCCGAAAAACCCTAAAACCACCACCTCTCAGCCCGAAACCACCCCCTTCTCAGCCCAACCATCCACAAGCACCCCGAACAACCCTAAAATCACCCTCTCTCAACCCAAACGACATCGAAACCACCCCCTGTCAACTTGATTTTTTTTTAAAAATCAGATCTAAACGACCTAGAGCACCACTGAAATCGATCAGATCTTGAGCAGCCACCTCGAGCATCGAAACAGCCTCAAGCAGCGACAGATCTTGAGCACCGACGATCTCGAGCACCGAAATCAGACCTCGAGCAGCGACGACATTAACGGTCGTGGTTAGATGCGGCGGCGACGTTGAGAAGGTGGTGTCCAAACCACCTCTAGGCACTCCATAACCATCCCAAACTAGCCCAACCATCCCTTAGAGCATCAGATCTAATTAATTTTATTTTTTAAAAAAAGAAGAAGAAGAAGAAGAGAGAGAGAGAGAGAAAAGAACACCGGGGGAGGAGGCGGCGTTCAAGGTGGTGATGAGCAGCAGCGTTGAAGGTGGTGGTTTGAGGTAGCGGCGACAATGCTAAAGTGGTGGTCTTGTAATTTTGTGGGAGATGACGATGGATGTGAATGATTTTTAATTGATTGTTGATTTAATTGGGTGACAATATTATGTTAATTAAGGTAGATTAGAAGTTTAATGAAATCTGATTTAGGTAACTAATTGTGTTTAATTATGAAATATTTACTAAAAGTATTTTTGTACTTTTATTTAAAAAAACTTATTAGAAAAGGAAAAAAATTGAAAAGTTACAACTAATGTGTGGCAAAAGTTGCAACTAATATGTAATGGTCTAATGGAGGTAGTACATTAGGTCAACCTTGTGCATTGATATGTGTGTCAAGCTTTTGACTATATCAATTACTTTAAGACGGAGAAAATATTATTTTGTTAAATAAAAAGTAGGACATAATTTGGTGATAAGACATTTTATTTTATAATTAGAGGTCACTTGTTGTAAAAGACATGCATGAAATGAAAGGAGAAGGGCGCTACGTGGCATGTGTATTTCTTTTGTAATATAGTGTAGATTATAGAAAGGTTAATGAAGGATTGAGTAAGTTTTAACACTAAGAAATTTATTTCACTTTGTTGAATTCGTTGGATGTATGTCATATCTAGGACATACTCATACATACCCCAAGTAAAAAAATCAATTCTTCTTATACAGTAAAAAAAGACTAACTCTGTATATCACTTCTGTTTTATTATTGTACACTCATCTTATAAAAAAATTACGCAAGTTTCAATAGGAAATATTCGTACATTTTTTTAAAATTTTATAAAATGGTTACATTTTAGGAACAAATTTAGGCAAAACTATCAACCAATTATGACAAGTATTTTTGAAAAAAAATAAAAATAAATTACAATTAAAATGATAAAGAAGTTAAGATATCTGTAAAAACTACCTAATTAATTTTTCTATTTTCCTCGTTTGAGGCAGATTAACTAAACTGAAGATGCATAAATCATGTGTGTGTGAATGTATGATTGTGTGATAGTCGAAAGTTACAAAGACCAATTCCAAAAAAAAGAAATTAGTTGGCTATGTTGGTGGTTCTATGACTAGGTGCATCTAGGCTAAGAGATGTGTTATGCTTAACTTCTATTAGATTTTAGATATAAAATTATAACATCACCTCTATTATTAATTAATCTATAACATATTTGCACCAAAAATAAGAAAATCAAGCTTCAAGAATGCAACAACATTTGTAATGAAAACTTTACCCCCAATTGGAGTTTGACGTGGTTCAAATTCGAATTAATCAGAGTTCAACAGGCTTTGAATGATCGAGTCAACTTCATTCCCTCAAGAAAATATTTATATAAATCGATATATTCTCGAATTATTATGTGTAAGCGTAGATTGGACATTATATATAGAGGACGGTACGAACAAAACAAGCAAGTGTAACATGCATTTATAGGAATAATTAAGGCGACTTCGGAAATTGAAAGCATTTTAAGACAGGCATTTCCCCATCCTGAAGGAACTGAAAGACGATGTTATGTCCGAGCTTTAGGCCGTTTGCAATTTGAAAATCTTTCCATCCTTGACCAATGTAGGATTGACCATTGCTTTTCTTGTACTTTAGCATCACTGTCCAAGCCTTTCCTTTCCCATCTATAAGCTTCATGTAACATTGTCTATTTAATAGACCGCTTGATTTTACGAAGCCCTTCGGAAGATACTACATTTAGAAACACTTGTATGTAAATGTTACAAAATTGATCAAAGTAGAAAAAAAAAATGTAGTAGGAAGAGTATTTATACGTAATTGTGGCTAAATGCTTCATTATAAGGTAATCACTCGCATGTATCATCCCAATAACCTCTAATGTGGGATTTTGAACATGATGTTTTAACAAGGTTGTACCAATTGGTTGTTAGTGTAGTAGTGATTGAGACTGCACTTGGTAGGATAGGAAGAACCTGTGTTTGATCCCCAGCAACAACAATTGGGAGAGGAATTGAACCTAACTACTCAGAACTGATCCCCAAATTCGAATTAACCCAAAGGGTGAACCAAGTGAAACACTAAAAAAAAAAAAAACAAAAACAAAAAAAAAAAAGCAAGGTTGTCTTGTTGGTATTTTTAAAATCTTATGTTGGTACATTATAATACTAACACGATGTGTAAAAGTACCAATTGATGAGGGACTTCTTCATGTTTTACTCTTCTTTTAGCTCAATCAATGCGTCATCCTCACTCGAGCTACGTGGATAACTCCACATATTTGAGTCTGAATATTATCCAATTTACACAATAATGGTGGTTACAACTTTTGGTTTCATTACAAAGTCAAAAACATATACAGTATATAGGAGCTAATGCTTTTGGTGTCATTACAAAGTCGAAAACATATGGGAGCTAATGTTTTTTTTTTTTTTTTTTTTTTTTTAAAAAAAAAAGGGTGAGGATTAAAGAGTAAAGAGTACCATGACTTGACCTCATCCTTTCACGGTTTTTTTGGTTTAATATTTACGAGCCATACACTTGGAAATAAAGATGTGAGTAAAGAAATCCTTATTTTTAAGTACTCTCACTTGACAGAAATTGAATCCTAAACATCAAGAATATAAGTTAAGAAACTTACCAAATGAGCTAACATGCCAGGAGTACATTGTTCGCTATAGAGGCCAATGTTTAGGATACTCATATAAGAATGGTGTACGAAAGCGTAAAATAAAATGGACTTACCGCTTGACCTTTATTAATGACAGTAGGACTGAGAGTGACATTGTAGGTCGGATATTTGGATTCAGCTGATGGTACTTGTGCCGTTGCAGCATCATCTTCTTCCATTGGGTTTCCTCTCTTTTCTATCCCTAACACATTAATAATGCTGTTAATAATTTACTAGTAGACAATAAATATGTAATTCCATAATCCTAAATTTCCTCATCGCCTCATAATTACCAGTAATCATAAAAGTTTCATTAACAACAATGCCTTAAATTGTTTAATCCTCATAAACACCAGGCCAATCAGATTCTGGAAATGACACACTTATTTACGTCTTCATACCTTACAAAAGTTCTTTTAGTGAAGGCTCTATATAGATGATTCCAGTGGCGTCACCAGGATTTTCGAAGTGTGGGTTCGAAACTTCCGAAATTTGAAATCATAATTAACAAAGGAATAAAAATACAATAATTAAATATTCAGTACATAAATAATTTCAAACTATGGATTACAAATAGATTACACATAGAAAAATGAAAAAAAAAAAAAAAAAAGCTATAACCGATAAAATCTGATCAAGCTAATACAATGGCAGAGAAGCAACACATTAAATAAATTACAAGTTAACATTAAAAAAAAAGCTACAATATTCTAATTAGCAAGTAAGCATTACATTGCACATATACTATTTAAACTGAATAAGCTACATACTATCATTGTTATAGAGTTAAAATATGGATTCAACTAGTCAAAGAGGCCAACAATCAGCACATATTAACTTAATGACGGAAAAATAATGATAATGGCCATGATATTTCATTGTATCCTTTCACGCATCGCTAGAGCTTAAGGACTTAACCCAATACATGGATCAACATCCCACCTTACATTTATTTCTCATTTGATAAGTTGCCAAACTAACCAAATAGGGATATTAAGTTCAAGTAGCTAAATATTATCGTTTCACTATCGAAGCTTTTCTCATTCTGATTGCTCACTTAGATTATTGTAGCAGATTACTGTCGTTAGCTATGGCTTGACAGAATTCTTATGTGCCGACAATAAAAATGTTCAATTCAATGTAGCTTAGTTAGAGTTAAATTGTGTAGTAGATTCATGTCACAGGATTAATTTCAATTTTTTATATATAATTAATCAGCAATACAAAACCATCACTGAACTCAAAATTATACAAATAAAATTATCAAAGAGTGTTCGCCAAACATCACTTAACTCAAAATCATGCTTCAAACACAGAATAATTAAAGGCCAAATTTTCACGATTGAATTAAAAATTAGCATATATTAAACATAACAATGTAAATAAATTATCTCTAAGATCTATAATATTCATCAATCAAACCCATATCAACGAAATAGCAAATGAAATTATGAAAACTAGAAGGCAGAAACGAAATACAGAAAATAGCATATGAATTGGCAGAAACGAAAGGCAGAAAATAGCATAGCATATGAAAATAGCATACGAAATACAAAAAAATCCCCAAATTGAGAACTTGAGAAGTAAATTAGATAATTATATCCAAACTTCAGCAATTTACAAAACATTGGCAATTCGTAAATCGTAATGTATATTAGCAATTGAATTTAGCATATGAATTTCAATTTTCAAGTATTCAATGATTTAGCAAAAAAAATCCCCAAATTGAGAAGTAAATTACATTTGCAAAAAAAAAAAATCCCCAAATTCACTTACCCCTACATACACCGATACACCATACACGGCTGTGAGGCTGGGTCTGGGTGAGTGGCTGGTGCGCTGCCGGCCTGCCGCTGCCGCCGTGTTCTGCTGACTCTGCTGCCGTGCTGCGCCGGGAAGAGAAGGAGGAAGAACGGGAAGAGATTAAGAGAAGGAGGATTGGAGGAAGAAGTTAGGGTTTTGCAATTTGGGGGAATGAGGAAGAGGAAAGCGAACTCTGGAAGCAGGAAAGCTCAGTGCTCAGGAAACAAAATTAAAAAAAAAAAGTGTGAGTTATGGGTTTTGAACCCACAAACTCTTGTGTGATGGGAGGTAAAAATAACCACTGGGCTACAACTTTACTTGTTGCCATATAATACACAAATATTCTATTTAAACCTATTTTGATTTTTTTTTTTTTTTTTAAAAAAAAAAATTTTAAATTTTTTTCAAAAAATCAGTGGGTTCAATGAACCCACTTGAACCCACCCTAGTTCCGCCCCTGGATGATTCTTTCATAATACTGGAATTAACCATTATAATGACGACAATTTAATCTGTCTCAATTTACTTGTCTCAATTTCTTATATAGGCTGTTCCAATTTACTTGGTTCAAAGCTTACAAAAATTTCTTATCTAATTTTTCTCTTGAGTTAGATCTCACACTCGTTCACACATCCATGTGTAAAATATCTTGAGCAAATGTTTGATGACATTTTAAATTAAAAGTCAAATGCAACCTTTAGAAGGTAGTAATATAATCCCTTCATCAAGAACCCATATTTTGAAGTCAAAATTAGAATTAGTTTTAATTACAGTTGTAAAAATCAATTTCAATTAACACATAAATTGGAGTAATTAGTTGTCAATTTTAGATTCGAAATATAGATGCTTTAAAAATTAAAATTATTCTTCCTAGCTTGATGTTTCCAAAGTTAAATAAATAATTGCTTAAACACAAAAAAAAAATCACCAAAGACTTCGATCTATCGATTTGATTAAATAAAATAACTTTAATGTAAAAAATAACACAAAAATAAATTAACATTGTGACAAAATAAAAAAATAAAAAATAAAAAAAAGGGGGTAAAATTACCGTTACTAAATTGGCGCGCACACGCAGTAGTAGGATCATACACAGTAACGCTGAAGATCAATTTAGATATATGTGTAAATACCAAAAAATTACCAACACTCAACTCATTGTGCTCACAAAATTCCTTCCAACCATCCCCGAAACGCCGGCCGCCTTCGAGTTTTACGGCCCAATGGTGGTTATCGTCCGTGACTAGCGCCACGCCCTCTGGTTGATGACCGTGTAGTTCCATCTCTACACACTCCATATACGACACTGGAATTGACTGCATGCAAATCAAAAATGTAACTTTTGAACAGATAAAATACAGAAACCGTCGATGTCAACTAGTTTAATTAGCTGGTACACAAGACGTGGGATTAAATAGGAGGGACTACGTACAAAGGTGTTGAGGAAACCAGGGATGAGGGGCTGCATGAATTTAGCACCATTGTTAGAATTTGGTTCTTCTGATATTTTTGTAGTGTGCATTTTAGCAGTTTTAATCTTCTTTGTTCAAATTTGGGACTTTTTTTTTTATGGAGAAATGAATGTTTTTGTATTGTAGTGGTATTATTGGTAACTGTTGGTTGATTATATACTCTCATTATTACTGTACATAAATGGGTATGTGTGGTCAAAGCAATGTTGAACTTTTAAAATTGGCATATGACAAGTCAAAAACTTCAATTTTTCTACCCCAAATAATTGTACCAGCAACTCATCATGGCATGAGGCCTGATAAAATTTGGAGATTCCATCGCCTTTTGACTCGAAAGATAAGGCAATGGAAGTGGAATACAATATGGAGTACTGCTTGAGTAGTTGAATCTCATAAGGTTTAGACAATTTAATACCAACGGACATTATTAGTCATCGAAGGCTCAAGTTATTGATTAGAGGCAAAGAATTTCCCAACCACGGAATTTAGTAGCTCACTTGGTTGCAACTGACAAGATTGTTATGAATAAGTTTGTATTAAGCTTCCCCCATATTTGGGATTTGGCTTAACTTGATTCGCCATTTCCCCCCAAATATACTGTTAAAGACGGACCTGGACCGCATCCTTCATTAAGAGAGAGTCCACGCACATCAAAAGTCTAAGGAGGTTCCATCCCAAAATCAAAAGGCAATACGAAAAATAGCTCCTTAGCCTTATAAAGTGTTTTAACTCTCTCATCTTTTATCAATGTAAGACATTTATATGTGTTGTTTGGGAAGGTTATGTGCCTATGCCTTAACACTTTCCCTCACTTGTAAAGTCTCTTTTTTAATCCAGTCACATTTGATGTTTCATGGGAACAGAGTGCATTTAACATATACGTTTACTCTAGAGTATAAAACTTGCATTTGGGTGTACATTAGGGGAATAACAAAATCAGCTTATAGAAGACACATTAGAAGAGGGGAACTTTACCAAACAAACTTTACTTCTATTAATAATTTCTCATCACAAGCACAAACCTTCTACATATTTAGACATATATTATGATTTAGACAACCCTCATATTGAGCTACAAGATTAATTATATATAGTCACACCAATATGCATGCATTCTCTAATTAACATATCACAATTTGATCCACTTCAGCAGTATTCTTCCACACAAACCATTTAGCAGCCAATACATATATAACCAAATCCAAAGCACAAAACCCAGCCAAAACCCAGTAAAACTCATCAAGATGAGCGCGATTAAGATTATTAACCAACCATTCTTCCCCCCACTTCTTGCTCATCTGTTGTACAGCAGCTATAATCGCGCTACTCATGAAAGCACCAACGCCTATTGCACCATTTGTTAAGGCTGAACCCATGCTTCGCATGTCTTCTGGCATTTGATCATAGAATAGCTCTTGCATTCCAACATATGCAAACATATCACTTAGTCCCATCACTACAAACTGGGGGACTAACCATCCCACACTCATCGGAACTATAGCCTTTGGATCGTTGATGAGTCCATGCTTACTTGCTACACCAACCCTCATGTTTTCTACTAGAGCTGCTATTGCTATGGTCAAGATGGAAAGTCCCAAGCCAATGCCGATCCTATGGAGTGAGCTTATACCTGGAGGAAACTTTCTCTAGATAGTTATACATCCATTAAACATAATACAATTCAATCCATATATTTTAGTACTTGCTCCCCTGCAAAGAGCATAGTGCAGCTTATTACGCGTTACTTGCCCTTATGTTACTAGAAACACCGCCTTGTGTATTGATTTTTTTTTTTTTTTTTCTAATTGTAAGACTAATTTTAAGATTTCCTTTATTGTAAAATTTTTCTTAAGAACCAACAAACAAAACCTTTTGGCTATTATTTGCATACATAAAAAAAAAAAAAAAAAAAAAAAAAAATCATGAACAGGACAAGCTTTTCATTAACTGACAAGTTTCTATCAAGCCTTTTATTTTCAAAAAAAGACAAGCTTGCTAACAGAATAGAACTACAGAAGCAATTTTGTCCAAACAAAAAGGTGTTTATTGTAACATAAGACACTACATAAAGTTGATTCCTAATAAATTATACTATTACAGAAAAGTAACATATAAACAATATTGAATTTATTGAATACATAATCCTTATTAGGTTATTCTCATATTTATCCCGCATCTTATAACTTGAAATTTACCCAATTTTAATGTTCATATTCTCTTATAATAGTCGGAAGTAATCAATCCGTGACACATATTAAGGCATCTTCTAATACAAATTGATTGTGAAGACTGACTGGAGTGAAACATCAATCACTTTAAATTATTACGAGAACAATTAAGATTTATCTCAACTAGTCTAAACATTGCTAATAGTGGCGGAGCCAGATTTTAAAGATGGGTGTCATTATAATGTCCATGGGGTGTCAATAAACTTGATATTAATCGAAAGTTCAATGATTTAAAACCAATACCTGAGGGGATTTTAGTGATATTTCTCATAGAAGGAACGAAGAGTTTGTCATAGATTGGAACAGATATTAAGATAGTTATCCCAGGGATGACTTGAAGAGATGCGGGTGGGATTGAAACCTTAGGGCCAAGTGATCGTTGCATGGTGCTAGCTTGCTTGATGAAGAAGGTATGGACTTGTGCAACGATAATTGCGTATGCAAAGGTGCATACCCAAATTGGGATTAAGCGAACTATGAGCTTCACTTCTTCCACTTGATTAACGGAGCATAGCCTCCATGGGTTTCTGGATTTGATCAATGAATCTCTCTCGTCGATTGTCATTGCCTTGTCGAGACATCTACATGAGTTCGATTGTTAAAAGACATGTACAATGCCAAATTCAGTATATGCGTCATGCATGTTTATTATAACCAGAATATACTTATTTTGTAATTCAAATATTCAATTGAAACTTAATACCAATTTTATTTTTTTTGATAAAGAACGACTCTTATTAGACCACAATCCACATTTTTTTCTAATTATTTTGGTCTAATATTTAATTTATGATTTAGACACTTGAAAGTGATATGAAAGGATAAGGATCCTCACCCTCAAGTACATATATGCTAGGCAATTTATTGTAATTAGAATATACATACCCATAATTAATTAAATTAGACGTAGTATGTATATTAATGAATGTTTAATATTGAATGCCACAATGAAATACGGAGTACATTGATAACAACAAATCAACCATTGTCAATTACTTGTAAAATTAGATGCTTGTATAATTAGACACTGCCTAGGATTAATACTCCACGCTTTATCACTTTGATGGTGCTACATATGTCACATTTAAACAACACAAATATTGCTTTAGTCGGACAAGAGTATTGTGTTAAATTTGTGTGTAAAAATAAATTTTACAATTAGTACTTTAGAAACTTCTTTAGCAAAAAAATCAATTGTTATTAGCAAATTGAGAATTATACAAAGCTATGAGAAAAGTAATAGTTCAAACTAGAAATGAATCATGAACGGACGATATAACACGTGTTTACAGATAGTAAGTGTATCTTTACTTCTTTAGTCTAGTACTTCGTATTAGAGAATTTCTAAGTAGTTTTTATGGCGTTTTGACACCTTCTCAAAGCTAACTAAGGCAGATATAAAATGAGAAAAGTACTTACTAAAAAAATGAATGATACACCATTTGTTTATAGCTAGTAATGAGTGTTTTTGTGGTCTATATAGTATTAGAGTATTTCTAAGTAGTTTCTAAGGCGTTTGATATCTTCCCAAAGCTAAATTAGGGAGATGTTGAAACTAAATATTAAAACTCTAGTCTCATGCTTTACCGTTATCAAAAGAGTTCGTTTCTCCTAAAGAAATACTCCGTACTTGTCAACCAACCAGAGTAATAACTGAGTTAAGTAGAGAGAAGAGGATTTAGACTCGTCCCGGCCATATGCATGTACATACCAATAAAATATAACAGGGAAATTCTCAACGGTGACCCTCAACTTCTGCTACGCACCAATGGTCACCTCCCTTTTTTTATTATACAAAATGACCTTAGTTAAAAATTTCATCTCACTCATAACCTTATTTCATTAATATTAACTATGGTTAGATTTCTATTTTAAAAATAAATAAATAAAAAATTAAACCCAACCACCAAAATCAGCCACCATCTCCCTTCCGACGACACTACCCCAAGTTCCATCGATCGCCGCCGACACTACCCAGACTCCCTCGACCGCCGGTGACACTGCGCCAACTCCACCTCGACCACCGCCAAGCAGATTCCCAAATCCCCGCCCACAACCCTCCCTCTCTCTCGTCCTTCTCACCGTCACCACCACTAGGTCGCCGAACTCAGAACCCCGACCACCCCCAAACCGCCGAACCCAAACACAATTTGGATTTTGTAGATCGAACAAGGAGTGACAGTCGGGTTTAGATCTGGGCGTAGGAGAGATCAGAGGAGAGAGAAAAAGAGGTTCGTGGGTTGTGGTGGGAGGATTAGCAGTGGATTTGGTCTGGTGGCGGTGCAGTTCTTGGTCTGGTGGGGAATGTCGGTTTGAGGTGAGGAAGAGGGTAGAGGTGGTGGTGGCAATGAGGAGAGAGAAGGAGGGTCTTTGGCAGATTGGGGATTCTGGCTGGCCGATGGTCGAGGTTAAGCAGCGTCGCCGGCGGGGTAAGCTTGGAGCAGTGTCGCCGGCGGGGGGAGTTTGGCTGGCAGGTGGGGCTGGCTACATCTGGTGGGGATGAGGGTGAAGGTGGTGGCTGGGTTGGTGGGTTTTTTTTTTTTTCAAAGTTAACCATATTTAGTTTTTTTGTAAATAAATAACACTCATTAATGTCATATGTGAGATAAATTTCTTAATTAGGGTCATTTTGTATAATAATAATAATAATAACAATAAAAAAAAAAGGTGATAACCATTGATACGTAGCAAAAGTTAAGGATCGCCGTTGAGAATTTCCCAATATAATATCAAAAGGTCTACTTTGAAATATAGGTTGACGTTAGCAAAATGTGAAAAGTATGGAAGAAAAAGCAAAAAACATGCAAGTCAAAACACAATCAAGTAGCAAATGTTGGAAAACGAAGATATGTTCTCATCTGCCAATAAGTAGAGAGGTGAGAAAGATGGTGGTGAACAAAGTTAAGTGAATTCAACTTCAAAATTACAGGGTTTGCCTTTACGTCTTGTCAATCACATGCGTCTTATATTTGTTGCTCTATTTCATTTCCTCAGGTGTTTTCACATACATGCACTTTCTAAATTATTCCAGAAAATTCATTATTTTTTTCCTTCTTTTTTGGTTAATAGATTTTTATTTTTGGCATACTATTTACTATTTTAACTATGACTGAATTTTGTGATTTATATAGATATGATTGAATATAATCATTTGAAATCTTGTTATTAGAATCGTCTCAATATATATTAATAAGATAAATTTTTTATAGTATTTAAAGATATAAATCATTAAACTTATAATGTTGCAATTAATTTGCAAACATGATACGAGAAAAAAAACGTGTCAACAAAAAATATTATTATTATAATATAATGTCAAAGTATATGGAATTATGGACCTGGTAGTTAGTACGGAAAACAGCATCATGCATTTCCACTTCCAAACCACATGCATCCTCTAGGGAAGTAGGGAGTATATATGCATGGTGGATTCCACATTCATTAGTATATAGAAATTTTCTTTCTATATACTTATAAAAAAAAAATTACATTAATATATATTGTTCTCACGAATGAAGGATAAAAAAAAAAGTATTTGTATATGGTTATATGTACTCTGATTAATACAAAGTACTTCGTACAATAATGTTAAATGTTAGTGACTTGTATGACTTCTTTAAGCAATAATTATTTGGCTCTATTGATGGTTTAATCTCGAGCATAGTTTAGGATACTTGTAAGCTGTAAGGTTACGCACTCGTTAGTCGATAAGCAAGTTTGTACCCTTGGGCTCACACATCATATCATATCATATACTCCGTACTTGGACAATTGGACAAAACAAGTATAGCAATTCGAACTGACCTAATAGAATAATCATGTCATGTTAGTTTTAATTAGCTAGTGGAATGATGCTTAGCTTGAAGCTCAAATTTTATGGCCAAGACAAGTTCAAATCTTATGGCCATGTTTTTAGAAATTATGAAGGTGCATGCACTTATTCAAAATTAGTGGGTTTCTATATTTAGGTTTTGAGTGTAGTGATATATATACATGCATATAACTGAGACAATGAACCGTACCAAACAACCAAGAGTTGTGTGGAATATGCATTAGTGGCAACCTTATCTTAACTGTTCAAATGTTCCCTTCAATTAGAAAGATATGTTTAGTAGAAGTATCAACCTTTACGAAAAAAAAACAGGTTCAGAATTTTAGTAAGATGAATATTTTCAGGTGTTAAGCACTTGAGCATATATAGTATGATTAGTAACAATGAAGCTTCTCAAAATAAAAATAAAAAAGTTTTATTGCCTAAAAACGATAATTAAGAAAACTGCTTTTTATACATTTGTGCTCCATTGATCTTATTTTAGTTAGGTATATAATGTTATATTATATGTCAAGTGTGGTATTCTAAAACTTCATCAAAACAAGAAAAAAAAAAAATCGATGTTTATTAAGTTGTATGGTAAGTTTTATGAAGGCTCTTATAATGGACAAGGACCTTAATGGGCATGGCTCTTATTGGACAAGATCATTATAGGGCCAAAATATTTGCCCAATTTTATAGGAAAAGGGAATAGATAACATAGTAAAATAAAAAAAAAAAAAGTACATGTATATAGTTTATTTTTGTATTCTTGATTATAATTTTTTCCTCTATTCTTTTTCCTCAATTGTTTATTGATTCGTCTATTACTGACCCATAATACGCATTAGCCAAAATAAAAATGACCTCTTGTTAACCCAAACTCGACCCTCCCAACTAGGTCTACAAGGAAGTACTCAAAAACTAAGATTGAATCTCATCTACATTGTTGTGCTTTGTACTTCTTTATGTGCCAAAATATATATAGTGTTTTCTAGAAGGAAAATAAGGGTTTCATTTCCAAGTATCTTGTTTATACTACTACATCCGCTTCATATTTTTTGTAACTTTGGAGTATTACTTATAAGATATATAATATTCCAAGTTGCAAAAAATATGAAATGAAGGTAGTATATAAAATTCACATTAGTCAATAACGTACACTATAGAAAACTTATATTCTACTCTATATTACAACTATTATAGATTTGGTGATTTTTTAACGGTACATAGAATCTTATTGAAAATAGTATCGCAAGAATAACAAATTATGGTTCAAAATTAAATGGACTTTTTCATGATGTGTCGAAAGATTAGTGCAATTGTTAGGGGGAAAAGGTGATTTAATGTGTAAAATTGACAAAGTTATGGTTCATTTTGCCCGGAAATGTCTTCTCATTAGGTTTGTCATTATCATATTAGATATGCTTTTTTTGTGATAAGAAAAAGTTTAATAGTACAAGCCATCACCAAATAATGGTCCAAATCTTGTGGAGCATAATCTTAAAGAAATTTTGTATTGATTTTACCCAACTTTGCTCTCTCTACCTTTATTATGATATGAAAGGGGCCCTATACTATTTGTTGCCCTAGTCTTAGGTTGATCCTCAATAAATGATGTTGGTCGGACTATTTGACCATTTTTGTGACCATAAAAAGAGGCTAGTAGCCTAGTAGTACAATGTACAATCCGGCAAAACAAAAGCTAAGGATCTTAAGCTATAATCCTAGAACAACTAACTATAAGACCCAATTTGTCATATTTTTCACTAAATTGAATTCTTATTGGCCAAAGAATGAAATTTGTCTTCCAAAAAAAAAATACAGAGTACAAATTCTTAACCACAAAGCACCTTCTTGGCCTCCAATCAATTTAGTCCAAAGCAACTATATGGTCATATATATTATCTCCGTCCTATTAAAATTGTCTCATAATTCAACAATAATTTAAATATTGGTATTCCACATTTTTTCAAATGAATTAATTTTAATTGAAAAAAGCAAACTAATTAAAGAATATGGGACAATTTTAGTGGGACGAAAGGAACATGTTTAAAGTTAAAAAAATAAAAAAAACCCCTTCTTGACTCTACAATGACCATTTGCAATAGGCCAATGACTTATAGGTAAAAAAAAAACACATGATTTGTCTTCCTATACCAAACATCTATCTTTCCTAAACAATGGGCAAATAGGTTGTGGTATTTGGTTTGATTCATGCCATATAGCTTTGATTTTGAATCTATTATATCAATCAAGTAGTTAGGATAAACTAGATAATATTAGTCGCATTAACTTTTGGGTCACTTCGGATCTAATTAAAAAAATTCTTCATGTCACAATTTGATCATGTAATTTAAGATACAGTTTTAACTTCTATCAAGTATTCAAAAATAGGTTGGCTTTGTTGGGTATACTTTCACCTCATAATGTAATATTGGAAACTCTAAGAAATGGCAAATAAGAAAAGGCACACTATCAATGCACTAATCAATATTCAATATGTAAGCTCTAAAGATAAGTATTGAGAATTTGGGGTAAAAAGCCAACATTAAAAAAAAATAATAAATAATAATAATAATATCCATGCAACTGCTTAGTGGAGCTTAATATTATGAACTAATTGATGAGTATTTTGCATTGCGTTGTTAATTTTGACTAAATTGATGATGACGGCCATCCCTCGAGTTACTTTTTTAATTTTTTAATGAGGTAAAAAAAAAAATAAGAGTATTATGGGCTGACTTTTAGTAGAAGTTGGGTCCCTTGAGAACCCAAAGCATGGAACTGAAAAAGTATCTTATTGGCTAAGTATGTATGGATAGATTTAACCTAACATTTGTCTGATTACTACATGTATTTATGAATTAATTTATTAATATGTGGGCCAAGTAAATAAAGCATTCATCTTTGACAATATTAAAGACCTAACATCCAAAATAGGTGATATTTAATTTTAATTATTAAAAAAATCTTACTCATAAACAATTATAACAAAAAATCAGTAAAAATTAGTTTTAATTGGTAAAACTATGTAACTCGAAATATAAAAATTAAGTTTATTAATCACTAAAATTAAATTGTTTCAAAAAAAAAATCACTATATAGTCGAAAAAAAAATTAAGTGAAAATCATTTAATCTAGTGAAAATTGCAATTGGTACCTAAGAAATAAAAAGTTATTGGATTTATTGTAGAACCATTTCATGAAATTAATTTCTCCATGTTTTGTAGTATTACACTATATTACTTCCTCAGTCTTCTATTCAAAAAAAAAAGAAAAAAAAAGTACTTCCTCAGTCTTAATTAAAAAATCTACTACTAGAATGCCGAGATTATTTTCATTAGTAAATTTTTCAAACATTTTTATTTCTTATCTGGAAAAATCCAATGATCAATGTATGCTTTCATAAAAGAAAGAGGGCAAAGAGCATCCATTCCCCAATTCTACTAGACTAAAAATGAGACAAAAGGTAATGGGAAGAATGTTTTCCACAAAAGAAACAAATGCAAAGCATAGAACAAAAACTTGTATGTTTTTGTCGTTACTCTCATTTACTATCCCTTCTTTGCTATATTTTGTCGTTATATGACTATTGTTAGATGCTAATTAATGAGATTGTTGTAAAGTTTAAAGTAAGTAGTAATGTGATGCACCAACAAGGAATATAATATAGACCATAATCTTTACCCGAATCATCCATATTATTTTAATTAATTATCTCATAATGACTTATGAGGTAATCTTAATTTACTAATGACTCAGCTTGGTGTATTTAGAGTCCAAGGTTTGGTTTTTGTTTTTATATGGATAAGAATATAAGATAAGATGAAGGAATAAAAAATCCGATCTGTAAAGGATGAGACTCGATCCAAGGACCCTAAAATTAAAGGTACTTGATAAATCTACGTGATACCCAATCCCTAGACTTAACTGGCCACTGCCCCTCTTTTCTTGGACTTGAATATTTTGTGATGAGGCATGATACTTTTTGTATAGATGAGTTTACTAAACATATAACAACCTTCAGTATGGAATCTACTTTATTTCATGTGATGTCCATTATTATACTATATGTGCAACAAAGAAGATCTCAATTCTTCTACTTAGTACTATATTTGGTATTTACTGTTTATTGTACTAAGCAGTGTCAGCACTAGCCTTTGTGATTAGAAAGAGTCAACTTTTAATACAAGTTTTATTAGTATAGTAATCAAAGATATTAAAGATTATTTAAACATTTTTAAAAAGCAATGTTGCTTTCTAATTGAAACATAGTATGTATTACGTTGAGTCGTCCAACTCTCAATAGAATAGCTAAATATAAGATGATATAAAATATGACAATATTACGTTAAATATTATTTTAATAAGAAGATGTGAATTGGAGGAAAAGATCTCAAAAAAATCTTATTCCATCAAGGATTGTCATTAAGTGAATTCGCTAATTAAAACGTGCTTTTAAATCTACATCAAATCATCACACCCAACAAAAAGAAATGAAAAAAATGTCAATCCCAAATGATTTTCAAAGTTTGCTTATTTTACTTAGTGGAATGACCAACACTACTTAAAGGTCTTAAGACTTAAAGTCTTAAACTAATAGTCCAATCCTAGACTTACCGACTAATTTCGTGTTGAATTATATCAGACTGGCCGACTAATCCCAAATTAATGTCAATTTATATCCAAAATAACAATTAATTAATTACATCAACTTCGTAGTTAATTAAGTGTCGAATTTGAATCACATGGTCCCAGCAGTTGACCTACATGTTACGTTAATACGTTATCAAATATATATGAGATCCAAGTGAGCTATTTTTTTTTTTCCCTAGCAACTAGTAGTAGTACGACAACGTTTCACATTAACTTTTTTTTTTTATTATTATTTTTTTTTTTTTATGTCCAAAATAAATACAAATTGGCAAATTACAAATTAATAGTAATACATTTGAAGTGAATAATAATGTTATTTTTACCTAAAATTTATATTTATTATTAAAGAGAATAAGATATAGGTAAAATCATAGCTAAAATGGCGTTGTAGTCATTGAAAGGGGTTAACGGCATATAAGCAATGATAATTGTTACGGAATAAAAAGAGTTTTGTTTAGACGACAAACTAGTATTAAACCAAGTAAAATAAAATTGTAACATAAAAGTTGTCATGAAGACGTTACCTGAATTGGTTAGTACGAGCCAATTTACGTGCATCCAATCCGCGACCAACGTCATCATCGTAGCACAACCCTCGACCATTGCTAGTCTCAACCACGTGCCTCTTTCTAGTAGCGGCAACAACCACCTGAGCCACTCTAGTAAACGGACTCCCCACGGGCCGCTCCATCCGATAAGTCGAACATCCAAAGATAAAAACCGCTAAAGCCAACCCTACGGCGATAGTAGGAATGGAAAACCCGACGGTCCAACTAACGTTGTCCTCCACATAAACTATTACAACCACGGCAATTGTTGCACCAACAACAATTCCAAGGTACCACCAGTTAAAAAATGAACTCTTGGCTTTACGTTGCTCAGGGGTATTTTCGTCAAATTGATCAGCAGCAAAGGTTTGGACACATGGTTTGTGACCACCTTCACCCAAAGCCGTTATGTAAAGAGCCGAGAAAAACAAGGGCGTACGAATGTTTAGTGGGATTTTAGTGGTTGTTGAGATTGTCAACAAAATCAATCCCTGTTGATCAAAATGAAACATAATAAATCAGCTAGTCCCATGAGAATTATGAGTGCATCATAAACTTCTAGACTCGCAACTTGCAACAATGACATTTTGCAATTTTTATTGTTGAATTACACTTTTACCAGTGAATTTTTCGGTATTAGTAAGTAAACTAAGTTACTTTTAAATTCTGAAAGGTAAAGATTGATACGAATAATCCGAACTTTTAACTATCGCTATAAAATTATAAATCAGTAACTTTTCAAATTAATTTACAATATCATAGCTTTGAGAAGATCGTATCATGTCGGGTTATTATGAAAAAACAATCTTTAAGTTCTTGACTTTTTCGATCAAAAGCTCTAGGGAATTAATCGAAGAAAGTCATTAGAGATTCATTTTTTTCTCTCCCAAGTTGGAAATTTCCCTAACTAATTCGCGTTTCTTTTAGGGAGAGTGGAACATATATAGTAACAATTCTATTTTAGCTGTAAACCGTATACTCTTTCATTACAAGCAATTAATTATTTTCATAAAGTTAATATTTTAAAATAAGCATAATTTTGACAAAACTCTTAAGTTTCAATGTATTGAGTTCTGTGAAGGCACCAGCTCAATATCAGTTACATGACTTACACCACTAATAAAGGTATAAGTGTAAAAATATGTCATAAACATTTCAAATGTATTTATGAACACCATTCCTATCTGTATAATACCACATTACCATCTGTATAGAATATGAGACACACACACATTATATACTCGGCACTGTTAATAACTCCGTAATATCCCAATTGATGCATTTAAAATACACTAATTAACACGAACATATACGAAATTTATACTCATATTATTACTAGCTCTACCACTAAACTTATTAAATTTTATGTACGGACCAACTAGTGATGTCATCTTCAATAAATGACTTGTTCCCCCCTCCTCTCTCTTCTAGTATCATGAGCACTTCATGATAGAGAGAGCAGTATGACCTGGATAGACCAGTTGAATGGCACTGACAGATAATCACGTAGTAATTATTTTAAGTAGCTTTTAGCACCCAAAAAACATAAAGTAAAAATTAAAATAAAAATTTATTCATTACACACTTTTTTTTGGCATTATTCATTAAATTTCCTAAAGGGAAAGCCGGAAAGGGACACAAATGAGGTGTTAACAAGTTCAAAACTTAGGTGAGGTCCAAAGCCATTATAGACAAAATTTAATCTCAAGTCCTATGTTACTATCGTAGTCTTTAATTTTTGTTTATTTTGACGGAAAACAGAATTCACAAAATATTATTTTCAACGGAAAACACAGTTGTAAAAACAGCTCTTGATAATGCGTGAAAGGGAAAAGATCGATGGAAGGAGAGAAAAGCGAGGTAAGTAGGGTGGAAAATGTGACATCCTTTCTTTCAAAATTAGTTTCCATTCTTTACAAGTCAAAATGAAATGTTTTCCGTCAAAACAAACAGAGCTTTGTTGAATGCGAAACTTGATACTATTCCATAAGTAGAGGAAAAGGAAAAGCGAAACTTACCATGAGAAAAACGGAGGAGGAAAGGAGAGTAGTCTTAAAGCGACCAAGATAAGAATCAGCAAAGAAAGCACCAATAAAGAGAGCAAGAGACGAAACACCATTCCATGAATTCACATTTTTAGCAGCAGTTGCAAGGGGTATATCCATCATTGTTGTTAAGTACATGATTAAATTTCCTGCTATTCCATAATACGCAAATCTCTCTGCCATTTCCACAACTTCATTTTTTCATTTTTATTTTATTATATATTAAAACCCCACCAAAACAAAAAGAAACATTTTAGTTAGTAAACAAAAAAATGGGAATTTATTTTAATTCAATAAATGTAAAAAAAATTAATTGAGAAATCTTACAGATGATGAAGATGGCAGATTTCCATCCACCTTTAGAAGGATTAATGTTAGAATTATCCATGAGAATGAGGAAAGGGGAAATAAGAAGAGTACAAGATGAAGATGACTAGAATTTATTCTTCCAAGTTGAAAGCTTTGAGTTTGGACACGACAATATATATAGAAAAATACAAAATAAAAGGGGTTTTTATTTTTTTATTTTTTTTTAATTTGTGTTTTTTTTTTTTTTTTTTTTTTGTATGTATATTAGGTTGTGTTGAGAGGGGAGAGGTGGTTGGGGGTTTATTTGCTCTGTTTTTGTTTATTTATTCTGTTTTTGGTGGAGTACTAGATAGATATTAATAGTGGATTTTTTTTATTTTTGAGGAGAAAAAAAGGAAAATAAACGTTAAAGTTGTGGATGTTGATGGAAAGGTATCACCGCCAAAAAAAATAAGAGTGTGTTTATCTGATAGGTTGATTTTAGGGATTAGTAATATTTTACTCGGTTAATTATAAATCTGGTTAACTTTGTGACAAGTTAAGTACAAAGTTAATAGCATGACTTAATTATTATTCAAGAATAGGTAGAGTTGTTATACAAAATTGATCTAAGATCATCGATTGAATAATTAACCACAAAATACACGATCAAAAGCATTCAACTTAAAATAATTAAAATAATTAGACATCATAAAACCCTCTTAGAATAAAGGAAAATTTCACTTTTGCTACCAGCAAAACACACGTATTTCATTTTTACTACCGGAGAAAATTTTAATTTTATTTTACTACCATACAAAAACAAGTTTGTTAAAAATTGCTACCACTTAACGGAATCTGTTAGGGTTCCGTTAAGTTTATTAAAATAAAAAATTAAAATGTTAAAAAAAAAAGAAAAAAAAAACCCAGCCACCACCTTCAATTGCCAGCACCCTCCCGTCAGCCGCCCTCCCCCTTGCCGACGCCCAAAGCGTCGCCTGACGCCGGTGACTCCAATCCCCCCTCCCTTTCCTCCACCTACGCAGCCCAACCCCTCCGTTATCCCCTTCTCGCTGCCCCAACCCCCACCCCGAAACCGGAAAACAACCCTCCCTCCCCATCCCCACCCCCCACCGGAATCAACCCCCCTCCCTTCCCCTACCCTGAATCGACCCCCCTCCCCTTCCCCCACCCAAAACAGCCACCCCTAACCCTTAAACACCAGCCCAACACCACCATAAACGAAACCCTAAATCCCGTTTAGGGTGGTTTTGGGCTGGTGGTTTAGGGTTAAAGGTGTCGGTTTTGGTGCTGGGGATGGGGCGACTTGTTCGAAGGGAGGAGCAGCAGCAGTAGCGGCGCATTTTGATGGTGTTGCGAGAGGTTGAAGGTGAGTAATGGTGGTGCGATGGGAAGAGTTGTCGTGGGTAGTTGAGAGGAGTAAAGGATGGTACGGTGGCTGAAAGGTTGGGTTAGAGTCGCGACGGTGGGGGGGAAAGCATGTGCGCCGGTGGGGGGAAAGCTTGTGCGCCGGTGGGAAGATGTACCGAGCGCCAAAAGTAAAGGGGCCGGGGAGGGGTGGCTGATGGGGAGGGGCGGCTGAGGAGGGAGAGTTGGCTAGATCTCACTAACGGAAATAGTAACTGAAAGTGTAAAGTGGTAGTGAAATTTAACTTATGTGATTTTAGGTGGTAGCAAAATAAAATAAATTTTTTAATGTGTAGCAAAAGTGAAATAGGGGTGTTTGAGTGGTAGCAAAAGTGAAAATTTCCTAAATAAATAAAATGAATCTCACCTCCTTCATTTCATGCAGGATAACATCAAGCTCATGAAGTCACGAGTAATTCGGTCTTCCTCAAACTTATAATTTTGCAAAATATCTGTAGCCTTATGAACATCAGTATCCATAACTTTAGCAAAGTAAGTAGTATGTTTTCTGTAAGGATATATATAAGCATTCAAATGAATACCCATATTTTCAATCTCCTATTCAAGTTGCCTAGCAGATCTTCTTGGTGGTGGAAAGGGGGGGGGGTGAGGAGTGGGTGATGACGACGGAAGCGAAGGAAGAGAAGCAGGGGAATTGGATTGAACCTAAGATCTCAAAACTTTTATTGATTGATTCCTATAAATACATGTATCCTTGGGTTCACTTTTGTTCAACAATAGAGAGAATTTTAGCCTTTCAAAGCTTCCATTGTGTCTCATTTGTTGATTAACCTATAAATATAACTCTAAAAAATAAAATATAAAAAAAATCCTCAAACTTTCTAGTTATTATCTAAATACATATATAACAAAATGCCTATTCATTTAAATGCTGACAAGGATCATCCAATGTAGCAAAACTTTATTGTTCCTCTAAACTTTAGCTCAATCAAAACTATTCCAGAATCTCATACTTAGGAACAATGCTATGATGATTAAAAAAACAACCCTATCAGCTATGAGAAATTTCAGTCTTCCATCTCTATTTCAATAATTGATCTTGAAGATCCTAATAACTTTAGACCTCATTTTTAATGCGTGTCAAACTTGAGGGTTTTCCAAGTCACAAATCATGCAATTTCAAAGATTACTCGATCAAGTCGAGTTTCAAGCCAAAAGTTTATTCAACCTCCTATTTGAGCAAAAGAGAAGGTTCTACGATTCCCCGGTGAAACTAGCAGATATGGCTATCTTGGATTTACTCGATTAATAATAGACCCGTTTGAATTTGTAACAAATTTAAGTAAAAAGTTAATAATATGGCTTTATCATTATTCAAATCAAGAATATGGAAGTATTTATACAAAACCTATGATAATATAATAGTAAAAAATCTTCTTAAAAGATATAGGACCATAACCATAAATCTTAAAGAATATTCTCCTATAATATCAATACGTAAGTATATCACACATATATTTTCCTATATTGATTATATTTCATATCTCTAGCACCCTCCGCAGTCGTAATAGCAGGAACACGAAGAAAATACAAGTCATTATGTCGAGCCCCAGGTTGGAAAAGTAGTCAGACTCAGACAATAGGTGGTGACATCTAACTTTTTTATTTTTAGGGTTGGTAATTTAAAATATTCGAAAAAATAGGTGATTTACTTTGTAATAATGTATCATAAGGGTTGGTTATTTACAAAATTTCCTAATTATAAACTAATTTTGGGCACGGGCAATGCCCTTAATTATACTCTTCATTTTCTATATTCAATTGCCATTATTTATTACATTTTGTTGATATTGGATTGGACCAAACTAGTTGATTTATTTGGGCCAATTAAAGACTTGGTGCAAATTGGTTTACATGGCCCAATAACATTGTCCAACTCTTACTGACTTACAGCATGCAAATGAGCAAATCCTTGTAGACTAAGTGGTCCTCTAGTCCATGATAATTTTTTGAGGAACAATTGCGTAAGTTTTTTTTTTTTTTTTTCACTGCTTTGCTGCTTTTATTAGTGTCCCGGAGGAAGACAAGCAGGGGAATTGGATTGAACCGAATCTCAAAACTTTTATTGATTCCCCAAATTAATAATTAATAAATTACAAAAATGCTTAATGGTACGCATATAGTGTTTAATTTATAAAAATATATTACGATATGCAGATAACAATATATCTAATTTTAATCTTAGGCCATAATAGTCAATTACAAGCAATATATATATATATATATATATATATATATATAAATTGCCACGTAATTAATTACGTAGCATATTTTTCATATCAGATATTCTTAATTAACGCCATGTATATTCAAGAATATCACATATTTTAAGACATGATGATTAGTTAACATCTCCATATTATTCATTACCATAATTAAAATATCACATACTTCGTATATAAATTAGGAATGAGATGGAATCAAATCACATCATACCATATCACTTCACTAATAAATAAAGCCAGTCTCACAGCTAAGCCACGAAACATCGACACTTGGCATTCCAGATTTTCACCAAGTTTCGTACCACGTGGGCAACAAATAGGTATATTGTGACATATATAACGCTAAGTAAACGAATTTTGGATAGATTTTTTAAAATAAAAATGTTGTATATAGTTTTGTTATTGATAAACTTCTAATATTTCATTTATTTACAAAATTAATCATAATTTTTAGTAAATATCCTATAACTCGAATCTATTTTCATCATAAAATTCATTTTAAAAAGCTCTTTAAAATAAGATCCATTTATAATATATATTTAATTTATTTAAAAAAATAATAGGGAATTAGTAAAAATAAGTTTTAACCAGTAAAAATAATTTTAGCTTAATAAAATTAATTTTAAGTCAATAATATCATAGATTTCTATTTACAAAAAAAACTACAAAGTACACTATTATCTAAATATAAGCGATATGATATCGTATAAATATCCTGCATTAACAAAAGAGATTATATGAAACAATTTGGGCATTGCCCAGGCACAAAACTAATAAGGCAAATTTTTATATGTGGCTGGTCACAGACAAGCCACACCGTGTGACCAGCCACATTTTTTATTTATTTAATTTTGTTTTCCCACTTCTCACTTCTCACTATATTCCCCTTTCTCTGGATTTTCTCTCTCCTACCTTCCAATAATGGCAATAAACATCTCCACTCTTCTTCTTCATCTTCCCCAATCATCATCATTCTCTCACTCCTCAATTTCTTCTTCATCGTCTTTTTCTTCTCTTCTGCAACTCCTTCTCTCTCATCCAAATCCTCCTTCTCAATTCCAAACCCTAACCCAAATTTTGAGTTTGGAGACCAAATCATCGCATTTCTTTGTCATATTGTTGGTTTTCTGGGTTGGTTTGGTGGGGTTGGGGTTGTTCGTCGTCGTCGTCTTCTTCGGCGTCATTGGAGTAATTTCGAAGGTGAATCGCATGTTTTTGTCATTTTGTTGGGTTCCTGGGTTGGTTTGGTGGGGTTGGAGTTGTAGGTACTTATAATATGGGTTATTTGTTTTTGTCTTCTGTTTTAGGTATGTTATAAAGTGGGTTAATCGAAATTAGGGGTTACTTATTATATGGGTTACTTGAAATTAGGGGTTACTACTTGAAATTATGGGTTACTTGAAATTAGGGGTTACTTATAACATGAATTACTTGAAATTAGGGGTTACTTGAAATTAGGGGTTACCTGAAATTAGGGGTTACTTGAATTTAGGGGTTACCTTAAATTAGGGGTAACTTGAAATTGCGCATGAGTGTCAGACTCCATTATGCGCGTCAGACTCCGTTATTTTTGCTGAGTTGCAGCAGGCCACACGGTGTGGCTTGCTGCACCAAAAAGGCGTTGAACTAGTAAATATATAATCTAAGAAAAGAAATGACATTTATATTCTAGGATTATCTTAACTAATTTAAAGATCCATCCTAAATTCCTAATCACTAGCCAACCATCAAGTTTTAATTAGATTAAAAAATCAAATCATGGATTATCACAAAAACCAAGTCAAATAACCATAATTGAAATTGCTCATTTATCTCCTAAAAACCAGAAATTCAAACTTATCCGTAATTAAATTTTAAATTTCAAAATCAAAATTAATTAAAAATAAAACTTTACACTACCTTCGGTCGCTATTATTTGCAACTTTGGAGGGTTTCACGGTTCACGAAGCATAATTTGATAATAAAAGGAAAGGATACTTTGTACATGTGATTAGGAGGAGAGAGAAAAAATAAAATGGGGGACCACTGTATTAAAATCTGATTTTGTACATGTGTTAGGAGGAGAGAGAAAAAATAAAAAGGGGGACCACTATATAAATGTTTTTTAACCAAAAAAGTTTGTTTAAAAGGGAAAGAAATTGGAAAGTTGCAAATAATTCAGGGCGGTCAAAAATAGTAAAAGTTGCAAATAATAGTGACTAGAGGTAGTATATATATATAAACAGGGGTACTGTACATGATTAAGCTTGCTGCCCAACCACGTCACAACTGCTTAGCCACCAAACTGAAGCCCAACAACCTTAACAGCCAACCACCGTAGCTAAGAAAATTCCTATTATTATTATTATTATTATTATTATTATTATTATTATTATTATTATTATTATTATTATTATTATTATTATTATTTAGTTAGTTAGTTTAGCAAATTTCAATTTAGTTCAAT